TTTTAAACAATTTTCAAACTTTTAAAACAAAAGTAAAACAATTATTTTAAATAATTTTGAACTAATTAGTTAAATTAAATGCAAAGAAAAGAATAATGAGAAACACGATCCAAGTGTCTGAGGTGTCTCGCGTCAGTCTCGGTTGTGCCGACCCTGGCCGCGCGAATTCCACGCGCGCCCATTCGTCAACTTCAATAGGCCTGTTCTTTTTAGCTGAATTTCTTGTATGCTATAAGGAACAAATCATCTTTTTTCTTTTTTTCTCTAACGTAAAAAAAAAGCAAGAAAGATGAATTGCAAGAACTTTAGCCACAGTATAATCATACTTAGAGTCCCTATAATAGAGTCTGGACACTGCATTTGCGCGCATGCCCGTCCTCCATTAACAGTAAAAACCGGAAATGTATCGCCATGTTTGCCGTGCAATTCAAATGACTGATTGCTGTTATACGCGAATTGTCGCTGCGTATACGAATGCAGGGATATTGACATGCTGTCAGATATATTTTTGCTCCCTTGTACAATTCTATTCTACTCTATCTTTCATCTTGGATCATTTAAATAGTTTGAATTCAACTCTCAATACAGTACAAGCGAGCAAAAATATGTCTGACAGCGTGTCAATATCCCTACATTTGTTTACGCAGCGGTTAGCGTAAAAGTATTACTTTATTCTTTATCCTGTTATTCACCGAGTGTTAAACAAGGATTAAATGATACTCTCTATGCTAATGGCTGCGTAAATGCACCCTATGTCTTGCAATTATCTGTATCAGTGTTCGCAAAGATTTGCACATTTTGGGCTGATTCCGGCAAGCGACCGCCACATCACCCGTGAGGTACTATTGTAAGATGCGTTTTTTTTTAATTCCCCAGTAGGCCTATTCCACAAAAGAAAAATCAAATATGTGGCTTGGCAGGAAAGCAAAATTATATATCGTATTATATAATTTTGATTCTTCTTTTTATAGAATAGATCTACTGGGGAAACCACATTAAAAAAAAAACCTATCTTACAATAGTATCTCACGGGTAACGTGACGAAAGATATTGTCGAAATGTACATAACCATAATTATGCAATGTATTAGAAAACTATATGTTAAGATATAAGTATATCATTAAGGAACAATGAATAAATTAACAATAGAAATTTTTATGTTAATAGAAATAAATTATTTAATAAAAAACATATTTCAATAATAATTTGGTGGAAGGTGCGCTCCCAATATATTTCTGATATAGGGGTGCTCTTGAGCGCCAGAGCGTCACATGAGCGCTCGGAGGCTCGGCTTCAAGCGGTGGGGATCGCTCGCCGGAATCAGCCCAAAATGTGCAAATCTTTGCGAGTACTGGCATAATATATACTGCATTTTTTTGTAATTTTTATACTTAAATAAATTTATTATTATTAGTATTATTGTTTTAATAAGATATCTTTAAATTATACGTTTAACTCTTAATACGAGTACATATACAATTTTCTTTTACTATGCATGATGGATCGTTTGTGCGTGGGTTAATTTTCATAATTTTTGCAAATATACAAAAATTATAAATAGATTCTTATATATATTTTAACATCTTTAAAAAACATTTATAAAGTTGTATATTTAAAAAGGAATTAAGGATAGAAAGAATTATTTAGTCAAGTGCAGTATTTCGAAGAAAAGAAACAAGATACGAATGACTCATCGCGTACACTCTAAAGATAAAATTATATTATAATAAAAAAATGATGTTGTTTGTAATCTGCACTATATACATATATTTAATAATATACATTTTAATATACATTTATTTTGTAAGATATAATATAGAAAAAATTTTATTTTAAGAAATTAAATATATTGTAAGATTATATCATATAATCTTTTCCACAAGAAATTTATTGACGTAAAATCTCACGTGATCTCATCACCACGTGCTATACAGAGAATTTTATTTTCCACTGGGAAAACTGGTGCAACACTGGTGCGCACTGAGTGCAATTGTGTTGTTCCACTGACTGATGAAAACCAGTTCAGCGTTTAATGTTCCACTGACAAAACTGCAAAAAACTTGCACTGAGTTCAACTTTTGCTCCATTGTCTTTTAGCGTTTTTCACTAGGAAAACTGGTACAGCATTAGCGACGTGCTAGGTTTAAGCGGGGAGCACAGACTCTTGCATAACGCATAACATGTTATGCATAAAAAATATACCAATCGAAATTCTCTGTTTCCTTACTTTCCATGAAATAAAGAACTTTGATTAGTTCAATTTCTTATGCTTCGTGTGTTATGCGTTATGCAAGAGTCTGTGCTCTTTGCTTTAGATGAAAACTGCACTAGTGCAGTAATAATGCAGATTTGGTGCGGTTCAAAGGAATATCATATCATTAGACATCCATTTTATAACATTCCTAAAAATATATATAACTATATTCAAACTTAAATTACTTATTTTACAATATTCTGATTTATTTATTTATTTGAAACATTTTTTAAATTAAATTTTTACATTTCAAGAGTTTTAAACGTCAAAATATCATTGCTATTATTAGAAACATTGAAACTAAACAATGTCACATTGTTATAACATTAATTATATAATAATGTAATATTATATCATAACATAATATTATACCTTAACACGAACACAACCTTAATTTCAATTTGCACTAGTCTCCACTGACTTCGAAGATAGTGGAGCAAAAATGAACTCAGTGCAAGTTTTTTGCATCAGTTTTATCAATGGAACATTAAACACTGAACTTCTAGTTTTTACAGTAAAATAACGCAATTGCACTCAGTGCGCATCAGTATTGCACCGTTTTCTGAGGAAAACGCTATATTTGAAGTCAGTGGAGACCAGTGTAAATTGAAATTGAGGTTGTATTCGTGCTAAGATATAATATTGTGTTATGATATGATATTATATTATTGTTATAATAACTCTAACAACACAAACGTCGATATGTCGACTGTAAGTTGGCTTTGTTAAGTCAGGTCTTTAGAGTCACTGTAGGTCAACTTTGTACAGACGTCCTTCCAATGCCGACTTGAGGACATCTAGTGCGATTTACGCTCACAAAGTTTAAATGTGGAATCATTTCGTCCGTGTTGTTTAACTATAGTTAAACAAGGATAAATGCTATTCATGAGCGTTGTGGGCATGAATCGGATCACAGCCTAGAATGGTTGACTTAAAATCGGCTTTAAAGTGGGACATTGTATGACTTAGAGACGTCTCCGAGTCTAAAGTCGACTTATGAACGTTCATTTTTCAGATGTTTAGAAGCTAGAGTCGACTTTGTGCTGTTAGGGAATGTCATTGTGTTAGTTTCAATGTTTCTAATAATAGCTACTCAATTTACGACATTTTGATATTTAAAACTCTTGAAAAGTAAAAATTTAATTTAAAAAATGCTTTAAATAAATAAATGAATTAGAATATTGTAAAATAAGTAATCTAAGTTTGAATATAGTTATATATAGTTTTAGAAATGTTATAAAATAAATGTCAATAAACTGGATGTCTTATATGTTCCATTGAACCGCACTAAAGCTGTACTATACAGTTTTCATTTAAACCTCTAGCACGGCGGTAATGTTGCACCAGTTTTTCCAGTGGAAAACGCTATTAGTCTATACATGTGAATTGAGAGTACAATGAAAAAAAGGCGTCATAATCGCGTGATTTAGACAGCCAATCAGATCGTTAATGTTTCATCTCTGTTTTCTAGGGCTATAGTCACGATTAAACTTTTATGTAGTTAGAAATAAAGTAACGATAAAAGTAACTAGTAAAATCGTTACCGTTATCGTAAAAATGTAATTGCATTACCGTGAACATTATTCAGAAGAAACGTCGTTATCTATTCCTTACTGAAAAAAGTAACTTGCAACGGTAACGACGCGTTATTTGCTAACTCTGCATTTGAGATATGTCAAATTGACATATGTTATATTGGTTATGGACAATTGGACATATATCATATCTCGTAAATAAAAAAATTTTTTAAAATGTTTAAAGGGTCATGTTCGAAAAATTCAAGGAGTTCGTGTTCAGGCCGCTTATGGTTGATGCCTAAACCTATTTTGGATCGCATTATAGGTCAGGTCGCGTGTAAGTCTCTTGGTGTAAACATAACTAGTAAAAATTACGACTTTAATAATAATTGATTTGATAAAAGCAAAGAGAAATTCGCAGACATGGTTCAAGAAAGTGATAAAGTTAACCGTTGCTTCTTCTGTTCAAAATGTGAGAAAAAAACATTTCCTGAATACTAGGAAAATTTTAACTATGATTTTTGAATTCAACAAGTAAAATTGAATATTCCCAA